ATCCACTTGCTACTTATGGGTTTACAACCTTTAGGCAAATCAGACAAATCCTAAGTGTGATTAGAAACTATAGAGTCTAATTCACTTTTAATGACCTCTTTCCAAAAACTAGCACCTATTGACCTCATTGCTTCATTATAAGTCTTAGGGTCTTCTTCTATTAAATAGATAGACGCTAATTCATCATTCAAAACATCAAGATAAATATTTTCAGTCAAGAAAATAGTGATAAAGTCAGGGCCAAAGCTAGCTTCAATTCTATGCCTCTTACTCCTTCTAAGTTCATTTTCATGCTCATTAGCAGTAACACTAGAAGAAGGCACAATATGAGAATTAACAGACATAGATGTAGAAGCATTATTAGGCACATTATTTTTCAATGGAAAAATATGCTCAAAAAAATTCTACATCTTTAGATACACAAATAAAACTTCCATTCAAAGACATAAATCTATACGCAACACTATTTTGAGCATAACCAATGAAAATAGCATCAAAAGTCTTGGGTCCAACAGTTACTTGTTTAAAATCACGTAGACCAACCTTAGCCAAACACCCCTCACTTTCAGAATTTTCAAGTTAGGGGCAAACCCTTTCCATAACTCATACGGGGTTTTATCTAACTTCTTATGAGGACCTTTATTAAGAACATAACATGCAGATAAAACAGCTCCCCCCATATATTATCATATAAACCCGAACTCAAAAGCATAGAATTCATCATTTCCTTAAGGGTTATATTTTTTTGTTCGGCTATACCATTTTGTTGGGGAGTATATGGAGCACTAACCTCATGTATAATACCATTTTTCTCACAAAAAGGCTTCCAGAATATTAGTACTATATTCACCACTTTTGTTAGACCTAAGTCTCTTGATTTTTTTGTCTAATTGATTTTCTGTTTCTGCCTTGTATTTCAAAAACATGCTTTCTGCCTCATTTTTTGGCTTAAGAAGATATACCTTAGTGTATCTAGAAAAGTCATCTGCAAAGGTGATGTAGTATTTCTTTCCACCCTTACTAACAGTGTTCTTGAAATCTGTTAAGTCTGAATGCACTAGTTCAAGTAATTCTGTTTTTCTGCTAGTTACATTCTTAAAAGGCTTTTTGGTATGTTTTGATTCTACACAAATAGGACACTTAGAAAAATTATCAACATTAACTGCATGAATTAATTCCATTTTTCTAAGTTTTTTTAATAGAAGCAATATTAACATGACCTAATCTACCATGCCACAAATCAATAGACTCGGCAATATAAGCAGAATTGAAAGTACTAACATTAATATTAGTAATCTCTTGAGCGATGTTCAGTACAAATAAACCCCCACTAAGGTAACCCTTCCCAACAAAGTCTCCCCCCACGAGAAATAACAACTTTATTAGATTCAAAAATAAATTTAAGACCTGCTTTGTTAAAAAGCGCACCAGAAACTAAGTTTCTACGAAGGGAGGGTACATACAAAATATTGTTCAAGGCTAAGGTTTTTTAAGAAGTTAACTTAAGGAGAATTTTTCCTTTACCCATAACTCTAGCTGTAGTGGAGTTACCCATGTAGACACACTCGCTATCAGCAGATTCCTCAAAATCGTGAAATAGCTCCTTGTTAGCGTAAATGTGCCTTGAAGCGTCTGTGTCCAGTACCCAGTCAGTCTTGTTAGCTACCATGTTCGCATCAACGACCTCAAAAGCAATGAAATCATCACACTCAGTAAGGTTAGCTTGGACTGGAGCTTTTCCTCCATACTTTGTCCTTGTCTCTGGTTGCACTGAAAGGACTTATGACCAATTTTGCCACAGACATAGTAAGGTCATTTCGACTTTTGAATATGGCCCTCCGACTTGTTGATGTAATGCCTCTTCACTTGTCCTTTCTCCTGGCCTTTCTTCTGTTTTCCTTTAAACATGTGTTTTACAAAAGTAATAGAATATTCCACAAGGTTAGCTTTAGAAGAACTAAGAGAAAGATATTTTATCTTATCTCCTCATCTTTGAGACAGTTTGCTTCCTCAGTCCTCATGTGTCTGATCAATTCTTGAAGAGTTATGTTTTTCTTTTTGTGTTTCAGTTGATTCCTGTAATCACTCCAGGAAGGTGGAAACTTTTCAAACAGAACATTAGCCTGAAGAATATCACACATCTTCGTGCCTTCGTTCAAAACATCAGCAGTCAAGTTCTCATACTCGTGAAACTGCTCCATGATTGGCTTATCGTCGACCATCTGAAACTTGATCCACTTTCTAACGACATACTTCTTTTTTCCGGCATTATCTACACCATATTTCTTCTCCAAACTGTCCCATATGACTTTAGCAGATTTATAATTTATAAACAAATAAAAGAGAGGGTTACTCATATGGTTAAGTAGATGCCCTCGAACAGTTTTATTATCGTTTTCAAATTTCTTCTTAGCATCATCATCATCATCAACAACAATAGTATTAGCATTAGAACTATCAGCAACAACATTAGCAGGTGGTTTATTAAACAAAACGTAATCAACTTCTAATTGTTCAAAGAAAATTAAAAGTTTTTGGGACCAACGCTTATAATTATTTCCATCTAAAGGCTCAAGCTTTGACAGATCAGGAAATATTTTGTTCAAAGTGGTAGCCATTAGTCAATATTATATGTAGAATCTCTTTTAAATTGTAAGAAAAATGAGTAGATAATATTGACTAAGAACAAGAAGGAAACAAGAACAACTTATCAAAAATATTGTATCGTGGCAAGTCATTGACTTGAAAGCGTTAAGACCGGTCTCTTCCCAAGATTCCACAACATCTCCAAACACGTGCACTCGTGGCTGACAGTTTAGAATTTGCACAAAATAATTGCCCAGAAATCGTTTGAAGAAGAGAGATGAAGGTGTGTTCTCTATGTCAGATTCTTCACAAAGAAGACTGCCTTTTGTAGGCAAAGCTGTTTGAACAGTTACAGATGAAGAAATTAATCTGTAGTTGTTACAAATATTAAAATGTAGCCGTTACCTAATTAACTACAATTGTTACATAATTAAATCATGGCTGTTACAAGAATTAATTATAACTGTTACAAAATAATAAATTGGACGTTACAAAATCCAATTCAAAGAGATAATTTTAGCAAAATCAGATTTGG